GGGGTTACAAACAAATAAAGAGGAAAAGATGACAGTAGGTGATTGGCGGATGCTCTAGTGTAGTTTATAATTGCTCCTTTATTCCTATCAAACATCTATCCTTCTGATCTCTCCTCCATCGTTTTTTGTATTTGTTACTCTCTAGTAACTCAGCTAATCTAGCTCAGCACAGGTATGACTTAGTGGAAGATTGAAGGGCGCCACTGGTAGGTCCTACTTCTTTATTTTCCCCTCTGTTGTTTCTGTCTGTCTATCTTACCTTTTTCCCAGCAACAAATGACAGTTATTATTGTGTCGATGTGCTTCTCTTTAATTTAAAAAAAAACAACAAATGATTTGACCTAAAGGTTCTGCAAGTGCCGTAAAACACTTGAAGCGCACAGGGGGAAAAAGGGGCATAGTCACAAGCTGGACATTGTGATGGTGTCAATTTTAAAAGCTTGTGACTCATAACTTTATATTTGTTTGACTGGTAGTTTATTGTTCAGTGTTGTTGAATGGGAAATCTACAACAATAATCAAGCAACAGCTGTACAGAAATACAGTTATGAGTCAACAAGTGTTTACAATTATTGATTCCCTCACGAGTTTTCAATTTGTGACAATGCCCGTTTTCCGCCTTTACTCTTTACTCACTAAAACTAAAGGCAAAGTTGACTAACGGTTCATGTGGGTGGCTGGCGGGTGCTTTGGTGTAGTTTGCTCCTTCCTTCCCATTAAACACATATCTTCTTTCCTATCAAACATCTATCATCCTGATCTCTCCTCCTTCTTTTTTGTGTTTGTTACTCTTAGTTCATGTAAAAGTTTTACGGCACTTGCAACACGATAAGGTCATAGAAGTGCCGAAGATTAGAGGTGTTACAAGAGAGTAATAAACACAAAAAAGAAGGAGGGGAGATAAGGACGACAGATGGTTGATAGGACAGAAGGAGCAAACCACACCAGAGCACCCTCCAACCACCCGCTTTGTTACTCTCTTGTAGCACCTCTCATCTTCAGCACGTATGTGACCTAAAGGTGTTTCAAGTGACGTAAAACTCTATTTGTGAGGCATCGGGGTTAAACCAGGCGCTCGTCAAAATGATGAAATCGGAGAAAAAGGCATATTTTCACAAGTTTGGCAATTTTTATCGAAATTTTGTTTTTTGGCTAAACATCTTTTATGTTTGTATGAAAATACATTTCCATGTGAATTTTACTGAAAACCTTTGTTTAA